GGGGGGATAGGGAGAGAAGAGGGGGGATAGGGAGAGAAGAGGGGGGATAGGGAGAGAAGAGGGGGGATAGGGGGGGAGAGAAGAGGGGGAAAGGAGGGGAGAGTGTGAGAAAACGTGAAGAGAGTGTGATTAAACGTGAAGAACCGATAGTCTGTTTCCATTAATACAGGCGAGGGAATACATAGTTGGATGAGACGGGGGGTTTGTTGATTTCTTGTCCCACATCATTGCCCCCCGAAGATAAGTTGGGTTGGAAAATTAACGGGGGCTCCTTCATAATGTTAGTGACAGTTGAGCCCAAGATTAATGGACCTCCAATACTCTCCAAACCCGGCCTTGGGGACAAGAAGATTGGGCCAGGGTTGAGTTCCCAACGTCAAGCTAAGGATGCACTCACACTAGATTTGGGTGCGTACCTCTACCCAAACAATGAAGGATGTATGCAGGACACAAACGCTGGTACTCTAACAGAGAGGAGGGGAAAGAGGAGAGGGGACAGAGGAGTAGGGACAGGAGGGGAGAGGGGAGGGGGGACAGGAGGGGAGACAGGAGCGGGGACAGGAGGGGAGAGAGGAGGGGGGACAGGAGGGGAGAGAGGGGGGGAGAGAAGGGAGTGACTCCATCGCTATGTGAGTGGCCACATGCATTACTTCTTGGCGTCACTAATGCACGGTGCATTATGCACCTGGAAACTGCTCCGACACGTTGCATTGCATGCGCATGCGCATGCAAACGTGTAGCATGGCACCGCAGACGCTTAGAATGCCATCAGGTAGCGAGGCAGAGAGAGGATGGAGAGCAGGCAATGCGGGGAGGAGCAGGGAGCGGGGGTAGAGAGCGGGGGTTGGGGCGCAGGGGTGGGGGCGCACGGATCGCTTGATGCGCACGAGGTGCTCGATGAGCCGCTTGAGCCGCCGCGTCAGCGTGTACGCGTCCAACCACCCCGACCCCTCGCCCGCCACCCCTCCCTCCCCCGCCCCCTTCTCCTCCCCTTTCTCCCCGTTCTCCCCGCGCGCCCCCCTGTCCCCCTGGGGCTTGCAGATGTAGGGTCCCAGGGAGGCGTCGCCATACACGGCCTCGTACGCGCCGTACCCGTGTGCTGCCACGCCCAGCAGCAGCGCCAGGTCAGCGTCGCGCGTCCACCAATGGGCGGGCAGCGTGGCATCAGTGAGCGCTGCGACGTGGTGGCATGCGAGGGCGAAGCCCGTGGGCCGCGCCATGAAGCCCAGCACCTCGTGCTGCAGGGGGACAGGGGGGTGGCACGGCACGGGTTGAGGGTGGGAGAGGCGTGGTTGGTCCGTGACTTGTGAACATTTCCAGAAGCCCGTGGGGCGCGCCATGAAGCCCAGCACCTCGTGCTGAGCTGAGGTCCCACCACCATTGGGGGGGCCCAAAAGAGGGGAAGAGAAGGAGAGAAGGGGGGACGGGAGAGAGGGGAAAGGGAGGGAGGGAGGTTGGTTGCTTGGTGTAAAAGACACAATGACTGATGCTGAGGGGGGAAAGAAGAGGGACAACTGAGGTGGGAGAGACATGACATCATAGGAGAGATGAAGTCCCCCCCCATACCATCCGCCCCCCATACCACCCGCCGACCCCACATACCACCCGCCCCTCCTGCCCCACGTATTGACCCACACCTCCCCTCCCTCCACGCACCAGCTGCTCCAGCAGGCGCAGGCGGCGCAGCCACGTGCGCGCACAGCTCGCCACCGGCAGCCGCTCCCACCACCCCACCCGCGCAGCTATGCCATCCCCTCCCCCTGCCCCTCCTTCTCCTTCCCCATCCCCATCCCCATCACCAGCCCCCTGCTCCCCCCCCTTGTCCCCGGGGCGCCCAGGGGAACGGCGGCCATGGAGGCGAGGTGGGAGAGGCGGCGCTGCGCCCACGCGAGGTCACGCGGGTCGAGGGCATCAGCGGGCTGCAGCGTTGAGCAGGCGCGCAGGAAGTGACACGTGGCGTCCACCACATCGCCCGCTCCGTGGCGCTCGCCCCTCATGCTCTCCCGCATGCTGCTCTGCACCTGCATGCATGGCAGGGAGGGGAGGGACACGAAGGAGAAGAGGTGGGGATGGGGAAGGGGGAGTGGGGGAAGGACAGGGGGACGAAGGAGGAGAGGTGGGGGGAGGAAAGGGGGACGAATGGGGAGAGGCGGGGAGGGGGAATGGGAAGAGGTGAGGGGAAAGAATGGGGAGAGGTGGTGCCGAGGGAAAGGGGAGAGTCGGGTGGAGAAAAGTGAGTTAGGGAGCGAAGGGATGGGGGATGGGGGATGGGGGATGGGGGATGGGGGATGGCGGTTGTGGAGAGGAGTGCAAGAGGGACGCCATAGTAGTGGCGCTGGACGCTGGCCTGTATGCTCGTGCTCAGCTGGGGGGCAAGAGAGGAGAGCACAGGGCAGAGCGCACAGCATGGAGGGCAATGGTTTGGAGCAGTGGGCCTGGCCTGGCCACCCATCCCACCCACCACCCTCCACCACGCGCACGTGCAGCCTCTCAGCCCTTCCACACCGGTCACTCTGCCAATCCCCCACTCCCTTCTTCCCCCCCCCCCTCTTCGTCACCATGGAGGGTCGGGTGAGCCCAAATGCGAGCAGGGCCTTCCGCAGCGCCTCGCGCTCATTCGCCCGCCACACCAGGAGCCGCCGAACCATCTGCTTCGGCTGAGCCACCACGGGAGCTCCGCCCTGCTGCCCCTGCGCGCCCCCCACCTGCCCCAGCGGCCTCTTCATCCCCGCGTGCTGCTGCTGCCTCCCCAACGGTGCATCCTCCTCGCACTGTGCCCCCTCCTCCTCTTGCTTCGCCTCTGCTTTTCCCGCCACTGTCCCCGTGCCTGCTGAATGCCCACCAGCAGAGGCGGCAGCGGAAGGTTTGGCATCCCAGCCCGCTGGCTTCACTCCCCTCCCTCCCCGCCCTCTCCCTCGCCCTCCTCTGCCCCGCCCTCCCCGCCCTCCTATACTGCCCACCCCCACATCTGCCTCTGCCTCTCCCTTGACTCTCCTCCCACCACCAGCACTGGGCGCCCCAGCAGCAGCTCGCATGGCGGGTGGCAGGAGCGGGAGGAGCGAGTCGAAATCGAGATGAGGGAGGGCAGGCGGGCTCACGGGGTCTGTGGGGGCACCGACGAGGGGCATGCAGGACGGCGAGGCATGCAGGAGGAATGACAAGTGAGGAGGGGTGAGGGACGGATCACAAGGGACGGATCACAAGGGACGGGGGTGCGACGGTGCGTGATGGAAGGGGAAGGGAGGTGGTAAATCGAAGATAGTTGAATGAGGTTCTGGAAGCATAAAACCTCGTGTGAAGAAGCACGGCGCGCGAGGGCAGGAGAAGGGCAGGGGGGGCAGGGAAAGGGCAAGGGCAGGGCAGGGGGATAGGCAGGGTGTGGCGGTGAGAGTAGCAGGGAGAGGAGAGGCGGGCACGCACCGAGGAGATCCAGAGGCGGCACGATGGGGAAGAGCTTGACGGGCGGCAGCGGCTTGCCCGCATCCACTATGTCCTGTTAGAGGACGGGGGACGGGCGGAGACGGACGAGCGGAGACGGAGAGCGGAGGGCGGAGAGAGGGGGTATATGGCAGGCGAAACGGGTGGCATGGTGGAAGGGTTTTGCAGACGTGAGGAAGCACAAAGTGAAGGTTGGTGGAGCTTTGGACTGGGAAACGGGGCGAGCAAGCAGCGCACAGGGAAAGAGCCGCGCTGGTAAGCAAAAGACACTTATTGCACTCCGCACGAACCCCTCTCCATGCCCACCCACATCCATCCCACCCCTTACCTCAGCCCACCCTTGTCCGCCTCCCCCACCCAACCACCTGGAGCAAGAGGCGCTGCCCCCCAACCTGATGCCATCCCTTCGCGCACACATCCCCACCCCTAACCAAACGGTAGCCAGAGGCCCCTCCTCGCCCACCCTGGAAGCCAGAGGCGCTCCCCCCACCTGGTGTCCCCCCTCCCCCCCCACCCCCCCCCCCCCACCTGGTGTCCCCCCTCCCCCCACCTGGTGTCCCCCCTCCCCCGCACCTGGTGTCCCCCCTCCCCCCACCTGGTGCCCCCCCTCCCCCAACCTGGTGCCAGAGGCGCTACCCTTCATCCCCCTCCCCCATTGTCTCACCTGGTGCCAGAGGCGTTGTCCCCCTCCCCACCTGGTGCCAGAGGCGTTGTCCCCCTCCTCACCTGGTGCCAGAGGCGCTATCCCCCCCCACCTGGTGCCAGAGGCGTTGGCGCACGATGAGGTCGCGGCACAGCTGCACACACTCGTCCATGCACTGCGACTCCAGCCGTCGGATCTTCTCCTCGCGATCAACGGTGGAGATCCTGTCGAGGCTCGTCTGGTCCCACACGCGTGGAGCGGGCAGAGCAGCAGCAATGGCAGCAGCCTCGTCCGCCAGCGACCCCTCCCCACCAGCCATGGCGCTCAACGCTGCTGCAAACCGACCAGCCACACTTGCACCCATGCCTGATGCCCCCTTGCCCTGCTTCTGCTCCGGCCCATCCTGCGCCTGCTCGTCCTGCCGCTGCTGCTGCAGCAGGGTGTGCCCGCCCTGCTCTGCGCCTGCGTCTGCGCTGCCACCCTCTGCTGCCCACCGAGCTGCAGCGCTGCCAGCAGGCGCGGAGGGGGGCGGGGGCAGCAGGGGGAAGGGCGAGAGCGCCTCTTCAGTGAGTCGCAGCCGCCCTGGCACCGCCTCTCTCTCCGCCGCTGCTGACTCACTGTACCGCTCACCCCCGTACCCGCCCGCATGCGCGTCCTCCCCTGCACGCCCATACCCCTCGCCCTCCTCCCACTCACTGCCCGCCCCTGTCTCCTCCTCACTCGCCTCTCTCCCAGCGCTCCCTCCCCTTCCTCTTCCTCCTCCCCTTCCCCGTCCTCTCGCCCTGACCCTCCCCCTGCCCCGCCCAGGGGACAGAACATCACTCCCCCCAAGCACATCACCTCTCCCAGAATCTCCTGCCTGTCCTCCCCTTCCTGTCCCTTGCGCTTCCCCCCCTTCCACTGCTCTTCCCCCAAGCCTGCCCCTCCCCCTGCCCCTGCCCCTCCCCCGTCCTCTCCCCAGCGCCTTCCCCGGGCTGCCAGAGTGACTAATGGGGACGCTGTCACTCGCTATAGAGTCCTCTCCGTGCACTCCATCTCCGTTATAAGCATCCTCATGCTCTTGAAGCCCCTGCTGCTGGCGCATGGATGGGTGTGGCGGGGGAGGCAGTGGCCCACTGGACTTGCGCTTCAGGGGAGCAACAGCCGCGCCCCCCTCCCCCGCCAAGCTATGTCCACCTCCCCTTCCCCCCATCCCCCCTCTTCCCACTCCTCTTCCTCTCCCCCGCCCCCTCCCACGCCCAGCCCCCGCCCCTGGAGCAGCCACTCCCCCTGCTGCGCCTCTGCCAGCCAGCGCCCCCCCATCGCCCCCATCCGCGCTGTGCTGCGCGCCCCCCCTGCGCTGGTTGAGCGGAACATCCTCCTCCGACTCTTCTCCGCCTTCTTCCTCCGCCTCTTCGCCCCCCTCCTCCACGCCCTCCTCGAAATACTCTGGCTCCTGCTGTTGCCGCTGCTGCCGCTGCTGCTGCGGAGGAAACGGGTTATAGCGTCTCTCCTGCTGCTCCCCCTCCCAATCACCTGCCATGCCTCCCCCCACATCAACGCCTCGCCCGCCCACCCTGCCCTCCCCTCTCCGTTCCCCCCCGCCCGCCAACCCAGTTAAACCCCCTAATCCACCCCTATACTCGTCTATTCCCCCAACCCTAATTTTATCAGGATGGCCGGCAGGATGGCCGGCAGGATGGCCGGCAGGATGGTCGGCAGGATGGTCGGCCCTGGCATGGGCAGAGGGGGCGCGTTGGTCGGTGTGGCCGGTGTGGCCTGTGCTGCCGGAACCAGCGGGCGGGCGGGAGAACGGCGAGCCCCCCTGAAGCGGATTCGGCGGAATAGCGGGAAGCATTCCGCGGAACCTACCTTGCCCGCGCGCGCCGTCCATGTTCCCCCTTCCGCCAGCCCCCCTTCCGCCAACGCCTCTGCCGCCTGCGGAGAACCCCGAGGGAGGGATCCGCGCGGCGGAAGGCGCGGGGGCTGTGGCGGGACCGCGGAAAGAGCCCCCCAGCGGAACGTCATCGTCCCATTCGTCGTCGTCGCCGCGCCCCGCCATCCCGCGGCGACACAACCTGTCAACCTGCGCGCGAGGGCGCGCCTCGCCACGTCAGCCCGGCCTACGACGCGACGTCTAGGAGGCGCCACGTTCCTCGAACGTGTCGGAATGCGGTGGGCGCAGCACGAGGCGGCGATGGTGGCGGCGATCGGGTGGCCTTGGCCCTTATCTCACTCCTGAGAACTCTCAACGGCAAATACTCTCGCGCGCTACTTTCTAAACCGTGCGCCGCGTGCTTTCAACTCTACAGTACGAAACGCGACGAGAATCGAGGTGCAGGTTGGGAAGTAGTACACAAGATGCCCAACCCCTGCACGCGAAATTGCCTCGCACGTTCCAGAAACCTTGCACACGAAGGTTTTTTCCCGGGCAGTTGCACCCACGTTACAAGCACGTCAACCAATACGAACCACAGAAACAGAAGAGACCGAAGTCAAACAGTCAACGGTGAGTTACAAAATTTTGCTATAAGCCCTTTTTGCCCGATGCGAATTGACGAAACCTCCACGAAATGCATGAATCACTTAAGCGCCCCCTTCACAAGGCAACCTTGGGTTAGTCAAACGGACATCGTGTGTACGCAAGCGGCTAGTTGGTGTTGCTGTGAGTGCTTTCAAGCTGGGCTGATCTGCAGTGTACACAAGCCTCGGTGCAGATGGGTGCTGCCGGTATTCGATCATGGGGACTTCCATATCATACAAATCAGCCAACAACGTCAAAACCAAGTTGGTGAAGCCTCTCTTGCACATGTGCTCTTGTGATCTTTGCATTACACGCTGCACTAACAACACCATAATACAACAAAAGCCATAGTAATACATATCCACGCGCTACCCTTGATACATGAGGGCGCGCAGGAGCGAGACGAGGAACAGCCAGAAGCCTGCCACTGCCGACTGCCCAAACTCCATGGACGCCGCCGCCGACGCCGCCAGGCGCAGGCAGCGCGGGGTGAGCCGCCCGCAGTCCACGAGCGCGAGCAGGTTCCACGTGGCGGGGCGCGGGTCGGCCTCGGCGAACGCACACACCGCCTCAAACACCCCGTCGTGTGTCGGCCGCGCCTCGGGCGGCAGGCGCGTGACGAGCGCGCGGAAATCGTCGGGGCTGAGCGGTGGGTTGCGCTTGGTGCCCTGCGCTGCGAGGTAGGCGTCAAGCAGATCAGCGGTGGCCACCAGGTGGGCGTCCTGGCGGGGGGCGGTGGAGACGAGTGTCAGGAGGGAGAGGCAGGAGGGCAGGTCGAGGAAGTGCAGGTGCTGGGTTTCGAGGAGGGGCGTGTTGTTGCTGAGCACGAGCAGGATGGGGTGGTCGAAGGGAGGCGAGATGAAGAGCTTGAGCACTCGCAGCATCCACAGAATGTTGTCGTATGGCGGCTGCGCACGGCTCCGCACCCCGCTGCTGCCACTACTGAGCGCCAGGGCCGATGGAGAGTTGGCAGCTTGGCTCGGGCTGCTGCTACCTGCTGACCCCTGCCCGCCCTTCTTCCTCCTCTTCTCCTCCTCCTCGTCCTGCTGCCTCCGCCACTCCATCTTACTCAGCAGAGTGATACCCAGCAGGAAGCTTCCCAGCGTGGCCATGGCCTTGATGCCCGGGTGCTCGTCCTTGTCCGCGGGGTTGGAGTCAGAGCAGGGCGCGGGGCACACGGAGGCCCAGAGGGAGTGGCGCAGGTCCCACAGCTGCTGCACCACACGGCGGCTGATGTCGGGGGGCAGCTTGCTCATGCCCTCCAACAGACGGTTCACCGTCGCCCAGTCGTCGTTGCCCCACCGCCCACTCCCCACCAGCTTCGACTCCAGCTTCACTATGGCACCTGTGGTGGGTGGAAGACGGGTGGGTGGGAAAATGAGGGATGAGGGAAGGTGAACATGGGATACGCGGCTGGGATGTACAAGGGAGAAACGGAAAGTGCGCATCTGAGCTCCTAACTCGGGTGTGCAATGATGGAGACAGCGCGGGGAAGGGGGAGGCGGATGGGAGGAGGTGGGGCACTGGGTGCAGGTTGAGAAGGAGATGAGTGAGTGGAGAGTGCATAGGCGGAGGGGGGTTGGAGAAGAGGAAGGGAGGGAGGAAGAGATAGATGGAAAGACGAGAGGGAAACGCCTGCACCACCATTGTATCATGCGTCCCTGAGATTGCACCCCGCATGCCACAAGTACCCATGGCATGGAACCTCCTCCAGTGAAGTCCCCGCCACCAATCCTCCCTAGTGTCTCCCAGCCCAAGGCCCAGGAGCAACTCAGTGCCCCACGGAGAGCAGTGACCCACAGACACTCCCGCCTGGAGCACGGGAGGCAGCACTCACTGCATGCGGAGTCAACGAAGTGGCGGTTGAGGCTGAACTCGACGACGAGGGCGTCCAGCACCTGGTCGTGGTAGCAGCGGTCCAGGATGTCAAAGCACGCCTGCCACCCCTCCGCCAGCCCGCCCTTCACCGCACTCACCGCCACTGGGATGAGCGCCTCACTGGCACGGTCCTCCATGCCTGCATGGCTCATGCATGCAGCAATGATGGAAGGGCGGGCAGGGAGGGAGAAGAGAGTGAGACGGTGGAGTAACGAACGTCAACTCTCTGTGCCGCCCCCTCCCCTCCGCCGCCCCGTCCCTCACTGCGTGCACGCCTACAGAAACCATCGCCTCAGTGCCAGTGTGTTCCATGCCTGTGACCACGCGCACCACCGAGGATGGCAGGGGACGCACGGCGCATGCATGGAGAGGACATGAAGTTGCAACCCATGATGATATGGCTCAAGCAGAAAGAAAGAAAGGATTAAAAAAAAAAGAAAGAAAAAAAGAAATGAAAAAAGATACAAAATACCTGCGATATCATAACGAGGGAGTGGCACGCACCGAGGAAGCGAGCAGCAAAGAGCACAGCAGCGGCCTGGCTGGGCGAGAGCTTGGGGCGCGAGCCGTAGCACCAGCGGGCGATGATGGAGAAGGCGCGCGGTCCCCCTGGGAAGCCGGTGAGCGCCACGATTGGCAGCCCCGTGGCCAAGGCCAGTGGCGTCAGCGGCATCAAGCCCTGCTCGCCCTCACACGCACTGGCGGTGGCGGCGGCGGCAGTTGCGGCGGGGAGGAGGGAGTGGAGGAGCGGGCAGTGGGGGAGCAGCACGTGGCGGTGCAGCGGCCACGAGACCCCATCGATGTCCACCACCATGTCCGCCTCCAACCCCCGCTGCTGTAGCGTCTCCCATGGACACGGGTCCAATGCCATGCCCTGCCAACCCAGGGGGTGGCGAGGGGGAGCGTGCAAGGGAAACACGAGAGGGAGGTGTTGAAGGGGCAAAGGGTGAAGGGTGTATGGTGCGCGGGTGCAGATCTGTGTGGTGTGGTGGCATGTGGATCTAACGAGGGACATGGATCCCATGGCATGCAGTGACGAGGGCCATGGATCCCATGGCATGCAGTGACGAGGGCCATGGATCCCATGGCATGCAGTGACGAGGGCCATGGATCCCATGGCATGCAGTGACGGCAAGGGGATGGGGAGGGGTGAGGGAGAAGGGACGGCTGCAGTAAGGAGGTGTGATGCTGCGACCACTCCTGATGGCAAAGCCTTTGGGAGAAGATCTCCCACGGGCGAGGTGAGGGCCCATGGCACGCCCTGGTGCTGGATGCGAGCGAGGTGGACAGGTGCGTGAGAGGGCCGTGAGCCAGGGCGGCATGCCGCGTGGGCCCCGACCATGCAGTGGCAGACAGGAGGCCCAGGGGGAAGGGTGGGAAAGCACATGATGCTGACTGAGGCGTGCAGGGAATGAGAATTACTCACCTGCGCCCTCTCCTGCTGCTGCTGCCACGCCACCACCAGCAGCAGAGCTCACCTGAGCGGTGTCGAGGGCGAGGCGGGTGGTGGCAGCGCGCACACTCTCCACCTCCAGTGCCGCCTGCTGCAGTGCCCTCTCCTGCCGCCCCCGCCGCTCCCTCTCCACCTCCCCCCGCATCCCCCCTTCCTTCCCCCTCTCCCCCTCCCTCCCACTCTCCCCCCCCGCGCTCACACCCCTCGCCCGCTGCTCTCTCTCCACCTGCTGCGCCAGCACCCTCCCCTCGCTCCACCACCCCCTCCCCTGCTCCCTCCCTTTCCCACCCCACCCTCCTCCCCACCCGCCACCCCTCTCCCCAGCATCCCCTCCCCCATCTCCCCCTTTGCCCCTTCCTCGCAGCACATTTTCCCAGCGAGAGCGAGCTTGTCGTCGGAGAGCGCGGAGACGTCCACCATGGTCCAGAGCTCGGGCACGGGGGGGAGGTGGCGGCAGTCGGGGAAGAGCAGGTGCAGCAGCGCTATCAGGTCCACCAGGAAGCTTGACAGGCCCGGCCATGCAGGGCACAGGCGCAGGAAGGGCAGCCACGTGTGGTGCTGTGATTGGTGCGTCATGCGCGCTGCCAGGTAGTGCACGTAGTCGCACACCAGATCGCCGCCCAGCGCTGCTGCTGCCGACCCCACCACCCGCACCGCCACACGCTGCCCGCTCATGCTGCTGCTGCTGGCGCTGCTGGTGGTGATGCTGGTGCTAGTGCCATTAACGGTGCTGGCGGTGGGCGATGCCTGTGGGTGCGATGACAGGGGAGGCAGGGGTGGGATGGAGGGGTGCGGGGCAGCGGAGACGGAGGCGTCACGGAGGGAGTGGAGGAGCAGCAGGCTGGTGGCGGGGCCGAGGAAGACCAGGTCCGCCAGGGACAGCGCGGTGGGCATGGCGGTGAGGCGGTGCGCCAGGCGCGAGAACAGCAGCTCCTTGCGCCGCCCCACGCCCGCCCGCATGCTCTCCCCCATGCCCTCGCCCGTCCTGCTCGCGCTCGCTCGCTCACTGGAGGCCACGTCGCTGTCGCTTTTGGTTTCCCGCAGCCCTGTGGGCACAGCGCCTGCATCCCCCCTCACGCCCCTGCCTCCCACACGCTGCACGGAAGATGCCCTTTCAACCCCCTTGCTGTTCACCGAATGTCTCGACCCTTCCTTTCCTTGTACCGAATCCCCTTGTAATGAGGCTGAGCTTCTCGTCTTACCAGCACCGTTCACTTGACCGCCCTGTTCCTGCCCATGAGCATCCGTGAGTGCATGACCTTCCTGCAGAGAGACGCAGTGTTTGAGCAGCACGATCAGGTACTGCACCGACGGCATGTAGCGCGTGCTCGACCTCAACCCGCCCTGCTGCTGCCGCCTCAACACCTGCTGCTGCTGTGCTGCCGCTGCCGCTGATGCCCCCCCGCTTTCCGCACCCACGCCTCCTCCTCCCGCTGCTGGTGGTGGCGGGCGGTGGTGCAGGTCGTGCAGGGCAGCAGCGTGCTCCAGCGCCTCACTGCACGCATACTCAAACAGCATCGCCCGCCCCACCTCCTCCCTCTCCTCCGCCTCCTCTGCCGCCTCCTCCCCGCATACCACCTTGTATCCCTCTCCTTCTCCACTCGCCACCCTCCTCTCTGCACCACCGCTGCTTGAACGCCCAATGGACGAAGCTGCTTCCCCTCCTCCTGCTGCTACTCCTCCTGCTGCTGCTTTTTCTGCTGCCACATCACCATCCCCACCATCACCATCACCAGCAGCAGCAGCAGCGGCGGCGGCGGCGGCAGCGGCAGCGAGGGAGGGGATGTGTTGGAAGAGGCAGGAGTGGGAGAGGGCAGCGAGGTAGTTGCCGATGCGCACGAAGCTGACACTGGCCTGCCGGCACGCCTGCAGCACGCACGACAGCACGGGCGCGGGCAGCGCGGCCAGGCGCGCCAGCAGGTGGTGCAGTGCGGCCGTGCGCGAGGGGCTGTCGAAGGGGCCCGACAGCATGGCGCTCAGATGGTCTGCTCGTGGTGAGTGTGGTGGGGTGAGGTGGTGCAGGGGTGGTGCGGGGGTGATGTAGTGGTGGTGCAGGGGTGGTGTAGAGGGGGGAACATGAGGACGAGTGTGTGAGGGGACAGGTATGACGTGGTGATGGAGTGGCAGGCAGGCGATCAGCGCGTGCAGAGGGCGGTTGCAGAGAGTAGAAGGGCGCTCACGGCATGAAAAGATGAAGAGGGTAAAGCACAGACGACGACGAGGAAGTGGGGAGGTGGAGGGGGAGGGGGAGGGGGGGGGGGGGTTGGGGGGAAGGCGGGAAGGGAAGGGCGAGAAGGGTGGTGGGGGAAACTAGTAGAGTGAGCAGGCAGGCGGGTGTGGGTGGATGGGATGGCGCACGTGCCTGCCACGCATGCTGACGCGTGCAGCGGGAGGTCGAGCTTCAGCGCCTCCCTCATTACAAGCTCGTCCTTCGCTACAGTCTCCAGCAGCCGCAGGCTGTCCTCCCACTCGTTAAGAACATACTCGTTAATGTACTTCCACGCCTGTCGCTGCAACGAGTCCTCCTCGCTCCCCTCACACATCTCGAAGAACGCTGCGCAGCACAGCAGCTGCAACGCGTTAGTGGCATCCGCGTTAACAGGCAGCCCGTAACAGTACTGTAGAATGCTTTCAAACGCATCCGTTCCGCCGGGCACAGGCGGAATCGTGATTTCCACGCATTTCCCGAAGCCGCTGCCTGGCGCGTCCTCCCACGCGCGGCGGAACCACTTGCTGCGCGCGTAGAGAAGGCACGCGGGCGCGGAGAACATGGCGCCGTCGGGGAGCGTCAGAATGGCGTCGTGGAACTGCGGGCAGTGCTGCAGCTCCGCCAGCGCTGCCGCGCGCGACTGAAACGCGACTCCGGCGAACCCCATCTGGAATCTGGAGACTTTGTGAAGGGCTGAGCGTTATCGACGCAGAACGACGCTGCGGCGGGGGGGAATCTGAAGCGGCATGAGTCTAATCTGGACTTGGAGGAAGAGCACCAGTGCTCGCTAAGTAAGTGCGGGGTTGCCGGCGTTGAGCATAAGGTAAGAAGCACCTATAGTAAACAGTTAGCCCGTTCTGCTCACTTGCTTTCTTGCATTGTTGCCCTCCTTCATTCTCCTCCTCCTGGTGGAATACAGCACGTGAGTGAATTCAAAGGCTTCAGGTGAGACTTGTCGTCAAACGGATATGCGAAACACGATAGTTGGTGGGAAGGCGTTCGCCACTGGAAGTGTGGTCGGTATCTGGTTACGAGGTCGTTCGCCCAGGGTGTCGAATTTGGGTCGGACCACAATAGGGGAACGTTGAGCGATCCGCGTGACTGCCGAGCGCGTTACAGACTCTTAGAACTTCCTGAAAGAAGATCCACTTGTTACAAGTTGTCAACTGAAGTGTGTACAATAACACTAACAAAAAAGACAGGGTCCGCGCTCAAGAATCATACAACTCTTGTACCACATATACTCTGATTCAATCAGTGTTGAAAATTAGGGCGCGTCCCCTCCCTCGATCGATCCTGCCCTCGATCGATCGAGGGACAGGTACAGTCAGGGTTCTCGTTATCAGACCAATTTGGTCTGATGGTCTGAGTTTAAGACTTGTTTTTTTGTATTCATCTGCTTCCTAAGAATTTGTGTTTGTTCTCATCTGATGAGTAAGATTAGTGTTTTAGGTTCGTATGATTTTTCCAGACGTGTAGAATTCTTAAATCCGAAAACACAGATATCGAGTTCGGTTTCGTCTGAAACCGACATCTTGACCCACTAGGCCATATGCCCAGTGGACCAGAGGATAGGACCACAGGTACAGCCATTTGCTGCTCTGTAACAGCACGCGCATTCATTGCGCGTGTCTTATAGCAGCCCCGCCGAAAGCGGCGATGAGGTAGATACGTGGCATGTGGCCGTTTGTTCCACTCCCTCCCTTGCCCCCACACGCTCGTACCCCAACCTCGCAGTAGGTTGACTTTTAACAGGAACTTTTTTTTTGTCTTAGACTAGAAAAAATATTCCAGCTTATAATGCAGACCACGGAAGTTTCGTCGTCCGAGCATAAGACGGGGGAAAAAAAATTCAGGGTACTGTCATGTCAAACATATATGCTGCATATTGTCTAGGCTGTAGTGGGGTAGCCCATATGGGGTACAGCCCAATTAGGGTTTACTACTTGTACTCCTGCATGCTGCTAGTTCATCCATTCCTGCTGCTAGATTCTGACATGGTTTCAGAGCACTAAGGTCCGTAGGACCGTTTTTTTCGGGCCCACCTACCGCTGCGGTTACCGCGCTACCCCACGTACCTGCCTGCCTTGCCTTGCCTTGTGACGTGCTGCACTATGTGCGCCGTCCAGCAGCCCTAGCGCTGCCTCCTGCTGCCCTAGGCCAGCGCGCTGCCCCTAGAGGCCCGTAAGGCCCACGCGCCGCCCCTAGAGGCCCGTAAGGCCCGCGCAGCCCGCTGCAGCCGCGCGCAGCCCGCACAGAGCCCGCGCAGCCCGCGCCGAGCCGCGCGCAGCCCGCTGCAGCCGCGCGCAGCCCGCACAGAGCCCACGCAGCCCGCGCCGAGCCGCGCACAGCCCGCTGCAGCCGCGCGCAGCCCGCACCGAGCCGCGCGCAGCCCGCTGCAGCCGCGCGCAGCCCGCAGCTGCCGCGCGCAGCCCGCGCCGAGCCCACGCAGCCCGCGTCGAGCCGCGCGCGGCCTGCTACGGCCTCGCGAGGCCCGCGCGCGGCCCGCAGCAGCCCGCGCCGAGCCGCGCGCGGCCTGCTACTGCCTCGCGCGGCCCGCGCGCGGCCCGCAACAGCCCGCGCCGAGCCGCGCGCGGCCCGCTACTGCCTAGCGCGGCCGCGCGCGGCCTGCAGCAGCTCAGCGCGCTGTCAGCGCAGCCCGCGCCGAGCCGCGCGCGGCCCTCTGCCTCGGCCACGACCTGCCGCTGATGCGGACCCGCCCTGCAGCTACCACGGCCCCGACCTGCCGCTGATGCGGCCCCGCCCTGCAGCTGCCACGGCCCCGACCTGCCGCTGACGCGGCCCCACCCTGCTACTGCCGCTGAAGCGGCCCCGCCCTGCAGCTGCTTCGGCCCTGCTCTGCAGCCGGTTTTGCGGCCCCGACGCCGCCGCTGTCGTGCGCCTACTCGGCCGCCGCCCGTCGAGCGCCGGCCCTGCTCGCCCGGTGAGCGCCTGCTCTCCCAGCCTTTGGTGAGCGCCTGCCTGCCTGCCTGACGGCCTGCCTGTCTGCCTGCCTGCCTGCCGGCCTGGCTGCCTGGCTGCCTGCCGGCCTGCCTGCCTGCCTGCCTGCCTGCCTGCGCGACTGCCTGCCTGCCTGCCGGCCTGCCTGCCTGCCTGCCGGCCTGCCTGTCTGTCTGCTTGCCTGCCTGCCTGCCTGCCTGCCTGCCTATCTGCCTGCCTGCCTGCCTGCCTGCCTGCCTGCCGGCCTGCCTGCCTGCCTGCCTGCCTGCTTGCTTGCCTGCCTGCCGCGCCTGCCTTGCCCGCGCTACTGCTGCTGCTACTGCTACTGGCAGGTGGCCAGATGCAGCTCCAGCGACGTTCACGCGAGCCTCTGACGCCCCAGCAGCTTAGTGAGTGGTATACTAGCTGGGGTTGTCGCAGTAGCCGTCGTAGCTGTCGCCCTGGAGCTGGTCAGTTGGGAGCGTCTGGCAGTGGCCAGCTGCAGCTGCAGGGGCGTCCACGTGAGACACTTACGCCCCGGCAGCTCCAGGAGTGGTACGCTCAGTGTAGCAGGTCTACGCGTACAGTTCGCTGCCCGTACGTCATTCGCACAGGTGCTAGGACTGGTCAGCCTTGTGAGACGCTTGGTCCCGCTGCTTCGCCCGTCTGAGCGACGACTGGCGCACAGTGTTTGGCGACGAGGCTGAGCTCCCCACCTGGCTGGAGCTGCATGGACAGAGGGTAGATATCTTTGCGCTTGACTATGATGCTATTCTCACTGCCATGTATGCATTGCCTACTAGTGCTGATCGTGCCTGTTATCTGTGCGTACCGCCTGACCCTGGTGAGGCTGCTGCTCTAGGTGCTACTGCGTCTCCAGCTCTAGGTGCTGGTGAGGCTGCTGCTCTCGGTGCTAGTACGTCTACTGCTCTAGGTACTAGTGAGGCCGTGGCTTCAGGTGCTGGTGAGTCTGCTCTCTCTGGTACTGCGCCAACTACGGTCTCGCACACCTTCACCCTTGACTCAGGAGCTTCTCGCTCCTTCTTTCGCGACTGCACCACACTCACGCCGCTTAGTCGGCCAGTTCCAGTCTCCCTGGCGGACCCCTCTGGGGGTCCAGTCCTTGCCCACTACTCCACGGTTCTGCCGTGTCCGGCCGTCCCGTCCGGCTCGCTGTCAGGTCTTTACCTCCCCTCGTTCTCTACGAACTTGGTGAGTGGAGCTGACCTCCAGGATCGGGAGGTTGACCAGTTCACTCCTGCGAGTCAGCGAGTGACTCACTGTACGTGTGCTAGGACGGGCCGGCACTTGGCCACGTTCACCCGTGCACCTGGCTCGAGTCTGTACACACTGACCACTGAGTCCCCTCAGGTAGCTGCGTCTGCGTCTACGTTTGGTCAGCCCCCTGCGAGTGTCGCGCTTTGTCGCACGACACTCTCCTGTGGCACCACCGTCTTGGTCACCCCTCCTTGCCTCGCCTGCGTAGCATGCACTCTCGCTCCCTGGTCTCTGGTCTTCCCAGGTCTCTGCCTGCCCTCCCTCCCTCGCCTGCGCCGCCCTGCATTCCTTGCGTCGAGGGGCGGCAGCGCGCCGCTCCTCACTCCTCCTCGTTTCCTCCCACAGAGGCTCCACTGCAGACGCTCCACCTGGACGTGTGGGGCCCAGCCCGCGTCCAGGGACAGGGCCGCGAGCGGTACTTCCTGCTGGTTGTCGACGACTACACGCGTTACACCACGGTCTTCCCCTTGCAGAGCAAGGGTGACGTCCCTGATGTTTTGATCCCTTGGATCCGCGCTGTTCGTCTCCAGCTCCGCGAGCGGTTCCGGCGGGACTTTCCTGTCCTGCGTCTGCACTCTGACAGAGGTGGTGAGTTCTCCTCTGACCTCTTGGCAGCCTACTGTGCGGAGCACGGCATCACCCAGTCGTTCACGCTTCCGGCCTCTCCACAACAGAATGGGGTTGCTGAGCGTCGCATTGGCTTAGTCATGGAGGTCGCTCGTACCTTCATGATCCATGCGGCTGCCCCCCATTTCCTGTGGCCGTTTGCGGTCCGGTACGCCGCGCATCAGCTCAACCTCTGGCCCCGTGTCTCCTTGCCGGAGACCTCGCCCACACTGCTGTGGACGGGGAAGGTTGGTGATGCGTCGCGTTTTCGGGTCTGGGGTGCTCGTGCCTTTGTCCGCGATACCACTGCGGACAAGCTCTCCGCCCGCGCTGTTCCCTGTGTCTTCCTTGGCTTTGTCCCTGATGCGCCTGGTTGGCAGTTTTACCATCCCACCTCGCGCCGTGTCTTTGCGTCTCAGGACGTCACGTTCGACGAGTCGGTTCCCTTTTACCGTCTCTTCCCCTACCGCACTGCCCCGCTCCCCCCCCCCGCCGCTCTTCCTCGCTCCAGGTGCTCCCCAGGTAGACCCCCTCCCCACTCCTGGTCCTGCTCCTTCAGGTGTTTCTCAGGTAGACCCTCCTCCCTTGACTGCGCCGGTTGAGGTCACTGGTGACTCAGGTCCTACTGAGGGTGGTCCTTCTCGGGGTGCTACTTCTAGGGGTGCTGAGCCTGGGGGTGCTGGGCCTGGGGGTGCTGAGCCTGGGGGTGCTGAGCCTGAGGGTGCGGAGCTTGAGGGTGTGGAGCCTGGTGGTGCTGAGCCTGAGTGTGAGGGGTCTGGGGGTGCTGAGCTTGGCGGTACTGACGCTGGAGGTTCTGGAGCTACTGAGGGTGCTGGCGCTGGAGGTTCGGGAGCTGCTGGAGGGCCTAGTACTGGTGGCGCTGGAGCTGGAGGTTCTGGAGCTGCTGAGGGTGCTCGTGCTGGAGGTTCTGGAGCCGCTGGAGGTACTGGTGCTGAGGGTACTGACACCGGAGGTTCTGGAGCCGTTGGGGGTGCGGGCGCTGAGGGTTCTGAGTCTGCTGTTGCGCGGTCTCCTTGGAGTAGCCGCCTTCGTCCACGTGTGCCTCTCACCCCACAGCAGCTGCAGGACTGGTACGGTCGCCGTCAGCGTCGCGCTGCTGGAGCTAGGAGTGGTGCTGGTCCTTTGTCTACTGGAGGTGCTGGAGTCGCTGGTTCTGGAGGTGCTCGTGCTGGAGACCCTGGGACTGGAGGTGCTGGTTCTGGGGGTGCTGCTGCTGGAGACACTGAGGCTGGAGACCCTGGGACTGGAGGTGCTGGGTCTGGGGGTGCTGCTGCTGGAGACACAGAGGTTGGAGACCCTGGGACTGGGGGTGTCGGCTCTGGGACTGGAGCTTCTGGAGCTGCTGGAGGTACGGGAGCTGCTGGAGGTACTGGAGCTGCTGGAGGCACTGGAGCTGCTGGAGCTGCCGGTACTGGTGCAGCTGCGCCGACACGACTGTTCTTCGCTCCGCCGTCTCCGTCGTCTCTGCCGCCGCCTGACTCTGCTCTTCGTCAGGTTGTTACTCTCCCGTCGTCTACTGGTCTTCCGTTACAGACTGGCTCACCGCTACCTGATCCCTTTCCTTACACTGAGCAGACAGGCAGTCCTGCTACGCGTCGTGAGCCTGCGTCGCGTCCTGTCTCGCCTATTCGTTCTGGTCGTACCGTTCGTCGTGTCGCTCGTGCGCGTCAGCCGGCTGTCCCCAGCGCACACCTTGTTGTCCGTCGTCCTTCCTCTGCTCCGCAGCCTGTTCCTCTACCGTCTCCCCCTGCGTCCTCTCTGCCTGCCGTTCCGGACCCTGAGTCTGACCGGTTTCGTACTGAGCACCCTACTGTCACGCGTCTCCTAGCCACTGTTGTCACTGACCCGTCGTTTGAGTCTACTGCTGCGTCTGCCTTGGTCGCTGAGCTTGTTGACTTTGCTGCTGCCTGTCGTCTAGACTACGCCGCCAGTCTTGTTGCTGAGTCTGAGTCTGTCTGTCCTCCGTCCGTCGGGGGTGAGTGTGCTCTTAGCACGGACGTCCTTGAGGACAGGCAGGAGGAGTTCCAGTGTCTTGCTGCTGCTTTACCTCATCTTGTGTCCTCGCTACTTGCCCCTAAGGGAGACCCGGATGCACCAGACATCCCGACTCCGCGCTCTTACGCAGAGGCGATAGAGGGTCCCTACTCCTCTCAGTGGCAGGCAGCCATGGACGCAGAGATGGCTTCCTGGAAGTCCACAGGCACCTACGTTGACGAGGTTCCCCCACCTGGGGCGAACATCGTCAGTGGCATGTGGATTTTCAGGGTGAAGCGGCCGCCAGGTTCTCCGCCTGTCTTCAAGGCGCGTTACGTGGCTCGAGGCTTCAGTCAGCGAGAGGGAGTTGACTTCTTCCAGACCTTCTCCCCCACCCCGAAGATGACCACTCTTCGGGTGCTGCTGCATGTTGCTGCTCACCGTGACCACGAGCTTCACTCTCTTGACTTCAGCACTGCTTTCTTGCAGGGCAGCCTGCACGAGGAGATCTGGCTGCGCCGCCCCCCGGGCTTCACTGGGTCGTTCCCTCCTGGCACCCAGTGGAGCCTCCGGCGGCCGGTCTACGGTCTCCGCCAGGCGCCACGTGAGTGGCACGACACAATGAGGACTACGCTTGCGGCTCTTGGGTTCGCGCCTTCTACTGCTGACCCGTCGCTGTTTCTGCGCACCGACACTTCACTGCCGCCGTTCTACATCCTCGTGTACGTCGACGACTTGGTTTTTGCCACTGCTGACACTGAGGCTCTCGCCCACGTGAAGTCGGAGCTGCAGAAGAGACACACGTGCACAGACTTGGGTGAGCTGCGCAGCTACCTTGGCTTGCAGATCACCCGGGACAGAGCACGCCGCACCATCACCTTGACTCAGTCACACATGGTGCAGCAGGTCCTTCAGCGCTTCGGCTTCACCTGGTCTTCAGCACAGGCCACTCCTCTGGCTACAGGTCACACGCTCTCAGCTCCACCTTCGGACGAGTCCGTAGAGCCGAGTGGTCCTTACCCAGAGCTAGTCGGCTGCCTCATGTACCTGATGACTTGCACTCGACCTGACCTCGCGTACCCTCTTGGTCTTCTGGCTCGCTACGTGGCTCCTGGTCGGCACCGACCTGAGCACATGGCTGCTGCTAAGAGGGTACTGCGCTACTTGTGCAGCACATCAGGCATGGGGCTAGTGCTTGGAGGGACGAGCCCAGTTGTCCTCACTGGGCACTCAGACGCTTCTTGGGTTGACGACCTGGCTACTCAGCGGTCGTCACAGGGTTACACCTTCAGCCTTGGCTCTGGTTCAGTTTCGTGGCGTTCTACACGCTCGTCTTCAGTTCTCAGCTCCAGTTGTGAGGCTGAGATCTACGCCACAGCCATGGCTGCACAGGAGTTACGCTGGCTCACCTACCTGCTGACTGACTTGGGAGAGCAGCCTCGTTCTCCTCCAGTGCTCTACGTCGACAACAAGGCCGCCATTGCCTTGTGTGAGGAGCACAGACTGGAGCACAGAACGAAGCACATTGCTCTGCGTTACTTCCTGGCTCGAGAGTTGCAGCAGCGAGGCCAGCTTCGTCTTCGTCACGTGGCCACTCGGGCCAACACTGCTGATATATTCACCAAGGCACTTCCGTCTGGTGATCATCAGCGCTTTTGTACCCTGTTAGGCCTTGTGCCTACGTTTCCACACTTGCTGTAGTCTCTGCTTGTACTGTGATCTATATATATACATGCATGCCTGCTCTTGCTAGGTAGTCATCACTGTACTGTTATTGTTGCATATATATCTCTGCATGTGGACTGGCCTTGTGGCCCTTTGCTTGTGCTCAGAATGTGTGGTGACGTTGAGATCCACCCTGAGCTTGCTTTGCTTCTCTTGACTGGTCGTTTGACCCCTTGTTCTCCCCCACTTTGCCTATGGGGGTGTGTCAAACATATATGCTGCATATTGTCTAGGCTGTAGTGGGGTAGCCCATATGGGGTACAGCCCAATTAGGGTTTACTACTTGTACTCCTGCATGCTGCTAGTTCATCCATTCCTCTTGCTAGATTCTGACATGTCGGACAGCCCCAAAACCTAGCGAGAGCCCTGGGTACAGTGTCGCAATTGACAGAGTAACCATATTTCGAGAAGGCTTGCGAATGTACAGTAATTGGCGCTCAACGATCTTGTCACCTCCCCTGCTGACGATCGATGTGCCTTCCTGGCCACACCGATCTCGGCTTTTGTAAGATCGAGAGTTTTTTCCTCCTAAAATTTTCGATCTTGTCACTCAGAGCTCGCGATCCATCCGCGACTGTCACCTCTCACCAATCCCGCCCCAATCCTGCGATCGGTGTGCCCGATCGGTTTCCCACAGCGATCTCGCGATCGATTGAGGGAGGGGACGCGCCCTTAGATTATTCCAGAAAATCAGGGGCACATGGCCTCACCCACGCACGATTGAAATCTGAGACTGGTAATTACTTACATTACGGCCTTGTTCGATTGCACTGCATTCTTTTGTACAGCAATACCATAGTTTAGCCGAGTCGGCCTAGGGTTTCCGAACCTGGGGTCACTACCTTCCAGATGCAACTTGACTTGGTTTAAAGTTTTGACATCTGCCCGAACAGCCCAAGTCGCAACAGTCAGAACCGCGTAGTCAACGGATAAAACAAGCGTACACAGTGCGCAATTCAATTGATCTTAGCAAAATCAGATACGGAAGAACGTGACACAAAATTCCAAAATAACACGTGTTGAACTTACTGTTCGGTAATTAATAGATGAACATTTCAAATCCCAGTGTACCCTCGACCACAAACGCGACCAAAAATTTCAATAATGAACTGCTTTAGGGGGAAATTGTACACCCGAAGTTTCCGGGTACAAATTCTAATAGACCATTTCTGCCCGAAATGTTTACAACTTCACAGTGACTGTCGTTCTAGCTGCCAGCGGAAACCAAGTATTTTTTGCCCGGTGAGTACTTTTGCTTGACCAGTGGGCAACAGTGTTTGGACCGCGGTCCGCAGCGAAAATTACCACACCAGATTCGTAGGTGTACCGAACGTACTTTTGGTTCTGGTTTGGATCTGCCTAACCTCTCATAGGGTTTAAAGCCCATGTTCGCAGCTGCCGAGCCTTTACCGAGCCACGCAACACAGTGAAAGGGCTGTGGTTCCCCTGGACTGCAAAGCTATCGAACAAGGCCTACCAGCCCGATAAAAACAGCCCTCGCGGGAGAATGGTACACTAGCGTGGTCTGCAATAAAGGTGAGGGCCCTGCAGACGGGGAAAGCTAGTCCTGTCTGCGGATGACGCGTCTCTTAAAAAATAGTAAACCTAAAGATCATGCTTGGTCCCTATGTTACACTCATACCACTTTGGACCTAGACTGCCCTGCATGCTTTTGGGCCTACACACACCATTTTCTAAGAAATTGTGCAGTATGCATGCATGTGTTTTCGCCGCTTCGTTACGGTATGCCATCCTTGTGAGCATGAAAACAGCTGCTAGCTGACAATAGATAGCCATTCGTGATCTGGTGGATGGGATGGGGAAAGGGATGGAGGAGATGCATTGCATTGGTTGAATGGGATGGTGCTGAGTGGAGCATTGTCTGGGAGGGGGGAGCTGGGTGGGAGCGAGTGGGTGATGGCATGGTGAGGATGGGCTGCTTAGGGGGAGTAGAAGAGAAGTTGAGCATGGCTCCCACAATCCATGCAGCAAACACAAGACACTGCAGCAGTCAGCACACCTGGGCGGCTGACTGCACACCTGGGCGGCTGACTGCACACCTGGGCGGCTGACTGCACATACATACCGAGCACTTGCTGTGGCGTGGGGCGGGCCTTGGGATCTTTCACAAGCATCCATGAGATGAGGTGCTTGCACGCAGCAGACAGGTTCTCCCACTCGCGCACGCCGTAGAACCCCGCCTCCTTCGCCACCAGCACACTTGGCCACCCGGGCCTCTCCTCCGGGGCCACCGAACCTCCGGTGGAGGGTGGGTCGCTGTACGGCGCTCGGCCAATCACCAGCATGAACAAAACAATCCCCGCACTCCAAACGTCCGCCTCCGGACCGTACGATTGGTCGAAGACCTCGGGAGCCATATACTCAGAAGTTCCAATGATGTCTCGGCACGGATTCTCCGGACTGTACAGCGCCGCCACGCCGAAGTCAATCAGCTTCACGGCATCGCTGCTGAAGTTGCAGCTGCTCGCACCCACACTGCTGCTCTTTGCCATGGGGGCCGGGCGCGAGGAGAGGGCGTCGCGGTGGGAGGCGGAGGAGGCGGAGGAGGTGTGGGCGATGAGGACGTTTTCGGGCTTGACGTCGCGGTGCACGATGCCGTGCGCGTGGCAGTGCTGCAGTGCGCGCATGAGCGAGCGGAAGATGCGCGCAGCGGAGGGCTCGGGGAAGTTGCGGTGCAGCTGGATGCGGTCCAGCAGGTCGCCCCCCTCACAGTGCTCCATGATGATGTGCACGTGCTGGTGAGCGGAGGGGTGGGCGAGGGGGGAAAAAGCAATGAGATAATGGCATGCTCTGAACCCCCTCGCAGTGCTCCATGATGATGTGCACGTGCTGGGGGGGGGGGGGGGAAGGGTGGGGGGAATTGGGGTGGGGGAGGGGGAAGAGCGAAAGAGGAGAGAGGGGGGGGAGGGTGGCTGACAGGGAGTATGAGGTAAGTGAGTGAGTGAGGAGGTGAGGGGGTTCATGGTGTGCGCTATAGATCTCTCGCACCACTCCCTCACACCACTCTCTCGCACCACTCCCTCACACCACTCTCTCGCACCACTCCCTCACACCACTCTCTCGCACCACTCTCCCACACCACTCTCTCACACCACTCTCCCACGCCACTCTCACACACCACTCTCTCACATAGCTCCATGATGACATGCAGGCAACCAAGGATAAAATGGAGAAAGGGGAGACAGGATATAGAATGCGGCGACACATGCTTTCAAGAGGCCTAAAAGCATTCTGTGCACAGCGCATCACAAGGGGTTGAGGCGAGGGTGTAAGCAAGGAAAGGGGGGGAGGGTGGGAAGGGGGAGAGGGAAGGGAGGGAGTGAAGAGAAGGGGGTAGAGTGAGGGGTTGACAAGAGGGAAAGAGGGGGGGGAAATGTACTGCCATGGATAAAGGAAGAGGCGTGGGCACAAATTTGGTTCCCTTACTTTTTTTCTCTTCTTTTTCTTCCATTTCTTAGGAACTTCCAAGGATTCGGAGGATCCAGGAAACTCGGTGCGTTTATCTGTAGTGTTATCCCACAACTCGTGTGCGCGCTCAGCCTGTGCAAATAACAGGTGAGTGAGAGGATGCAAGGGGCGCTCACCCGGGTGCTTTCGATGGTCTCCTTCATGCGGATGATGTTGGCATGCCCCTTGAGTCGCTCCAGGAACCCCACCTCGCGCCGCACCGCCTCCTTCTCCACTGCACTCTGTGGCCCGGTAAGGTGGGCGAGGGGAGGCACAGGGGCGAGGGGAGGCACAGGGGCGAGGGGAGGCACAGGGGCGAGGGGAGGCACAGGGGCGAGGGGAGGCACAGGGGCGAGGGGAGGCACAGGGGCGAGGGGAGGCACAGGGGCGAGGGGAGGCACAGGGGCGAGGGGAGGCACAGGGGCGAGGAGGGGAATGAGGGTGAGGGTGGGAGTGGTGGTGGGTGGGCAGGTGCAAGGGCTGGCAGGGCGAACAACAGGCGGCTTATTTGAGCGTTGTGGTGGATGACAGGCACTTTTTGATACATAAGCTCTGCAGCCAACACGTGGGGGAAGATGAGGCCAGACAGAGCCAGGCATGTCAGGAAATGCATGAAGGAAATGGGGGAATGTGGTAATTGTAAGGCATCAAGGTAGCTAGCCTCGCCCTTGCCTTCTGCCTGATTGTTCGTTTGGAAATTAAAGGCAGCTGTTTTTGTGATCTGCTTGCATTGACCTGTGAAGGTTCTCTCAACTCACCAGCAGGCTCCGTTTGCTGATGCTCTTGCACGCATACGCCTTGCCAGTGCGTCGATGCACGCACTTGCGCACCGTGCCATACTGCCCGCGCCCCACCGGTGCTCGCCCCACCACGTACACCTCCTTCAGCTCGCACAGGCCCCTCCCCAGCACCGACCCCCCGCCCGTCATGAACAGTGCTGCACCCGGATGCTGAGCCTTCTGCTGCTGCGCTTGCCCTGGCCTTGCCTGCTCCTGCTGCTGCTGCTGCTGCTGCTGCTGGCCCCCTGTTTCCGTGCCCTCCCTGCTTGCACCGTCTGCCTTGCCTTGAGCAGCTCGCGCCTGCATGTCCTCTCCTGCTCTCTCACGCACGGCGGTTGCACCCGCAGCAGCAGCAGCCGCACCAGCACCACCAACAACACCAGCAGCAGCGGCAAAAGTAGCAACAGCAGCAGCAGCATCGCCGGGAATCCCTGCAGGGCTGTCATCCAACACTCTAGCAGCGTCTGCAGCGGCAGCAGCAGCAGCAGCCATGCCAGCATCACACGCGTCTTGCTGCATCTGCTCCAGGCTGCGAACACCTGAATGGATCTTCTCCCACCACCTCCCACTGCTGCTCCGCTCGCTGCCCCTCGCACCGTCACGTTCTTTGAGAAAGCTACTGACGTCCTGCTCCCTGTCACCCAGCCCCCTTGCAGACTGCATCTCGCCTCGTTCCATTGCTCTGAACTCCTTCTCGCCCCGCTCCTTGGCACTGCCACTCCCGTGCACCAGCCTTACGCGACTGCTGCTGCCAACCGCCGCACCCTGTCCCACCGCACCCTGTCCCACCGCACCCTGCTGCACACCCGTGACAGCTGGGTTCAGCAAGGCGTCAGTGTGAGTGGACTCGGAGAGGCCATCGGGGTACAGGGGTCCTGTGCGCAGGTCAAAGTCAAAGTCAGACGACAGGAACCCAAACCGCTCCCGCCCACCCCTGCTCAACCCACCGCCACTCAAGTCCGTGCCCCTGCCAGCACCAACAACGCCGAACACCGAAGCAGCAGCAGCAGCTGCTGCCTCCCCAATCGCATCCTGCTCGCCCCTACCATCTGTCTCCTTCTCCGTGCTGCCAAACGCCACTAGCTCTCGCGCGCCCGCCGCCTCCCCCCCACCCACCACCCGCTCCAAGCTGCCGAACGCGCCCTCCCGGGGCTCCACGAAATTGTCCGAGCCCACAAACGACCCGTGCTGACTGCTCGACACCAGATCGCGCGTGCCGTGCGAACCAGCAGGAGTAAAAAAGAGGCCGCCATCTTCAGAGAAAAAGAGGGCCTGGCTGGCCCGCCGCCCAGAAAGCAAAACCTGCTCCCCGCTGCTTGCGCCTCTGGCTTGCAGAGTGCCGCCTCTGCCACCTGCCGCCTGCTCCTGTGCACTAAAAAAGACGTCTCTGCCGCCCTGGGAATCTGCCGCGCCGCCCAAATGCCTGTGTCTATCCCCAATCGGATCGTATTCTCTTGATCCGAAAAAAACATCCCCGCTTGGAAGCAGGCGGCCCTGTCCTCCATAAGAGCTGCTGCGATTGAAGGCTCTCGCCCTGCTGGCGGCGCTACCACTGGCAGTGCCAGTCCCACCTGTTCGGTGGTGGGAGGAGGAGGACGACGAAGCAGCAAGGGCCACCGCTGTGTCACGAGTGGTGGAGAGGCCGAGGGCAAATGGAGGGGGAGGGGTGGCGGATGGGGAGGAGGAAGGAACGAGAGAAGGGTTGAGCCAGGCGGGGTCATCCCCAAAGGAGAGGTCGCGCGAGGAGCGGCGCTCCTTGAAGCTGGAGCCCCGCCGCTCGCCCAGCAGCTTGCGCCTGCTGCTGCTGCGCGGGGGGAGCGGGGCTGCTGAAGGGAGCAGGGGTGAGGCGGAGGGAGGCACAAGGCTGATGCTGTTGCTGCTGCTGCTATGTGGAGGGAAATCGGAGGATGGTCGCTCAGGAACGAGGAGTTCAAAGGATCCGGAGAGGGAGAGCATGGGGTCGAAGGGAGATGCAGAGGGTGGGTGAGGCAGGGTGAGGTCAAAGGGCAGTGCTCGCAGCGTGTGTGGGGCGGGCGTCTCATGCTGCCCCGAGTGCGGCGCATACAGGTCGTACTGGGTTGTGTGCGGTGCCTGCTGGTCGGACTGCGGCGCCATCATGTCAAACTGGGCGGTGTGCGGTGAGAGCAGGTCAAAATGGGTGGTGTGCGGTGCAAGCAGGTCCACGGCGGGGCTGGAAGCACCGGAGGAGTTAGCGGGGGAGGGCAAGAAGGGCTGGAAGTAGTCCATGGGGGCATCGAAGAACAGGTCCGACACAAACCGCCTGTGCCCCGGTGCACCCGCCCCCGCCCTCCTGTCGCGTGCGTTACCAGCGTAACCATCACCGCCAGCACGGTGGGGATCAGCAGCACGAGGGAGAACAGCAGCCAGCGTAGGGTCACCACCCGCAGCTACACCAGCATCTCCTTCCAACAGCACCAGCAGCAGCAGCAGCAGCATCAGCGGCAACACTTGGGAGCAGGCGGTCGGGGGGGAAGAGGTGGGGGAGGTGAGGAGGGCGGAAGAGCAGCTCGCCCTCCCAGTCCCTCATCTCCTCGTCAAACTCGCCCGCGTCTCTCGTCGGTCCCATGGACCACGACAGCCCCATCCCCATCCGCCGCCCTCCAGTGCGGCTCCTGCTCCTGCTCTGCCCTCTCAACCGCCTCCCCTCCCCTCTGCTCCCCTCCCTTTCAAGTGCTCTCCCTCCCCCTCTCACCCTCCCCCTGCCCCTCTCGTTTTCCGCTTCCCCATCCGCGTCCCCCTCATCCCCCACGCTACCAGCGCTTTGCACGCGGGAGAACACTTGAGGGCTCGGCGACCGGCTCCTTACGCTGAGGCTCGGGGCGTTGGCGAAGCTGGCGTTCAGGTTCGGGCTGTAGCCAGGGCTGATTTGCTGGCTCGGTTGGGGGCTGCGGAGAGCATGGGAAGAGGGCGGCGAGGGGGAGAGGCGGTCAGAGGAGAGGGGGAGAGGGGGGAGGTGCAAGTGGGGAGGAGGAGTACGAGGGCCAGAGCGGGAGAGAAGCAGGCCCTGAACGGCGTTGAAACTGAGTGGACGCTGCAAGAAACGCCTGCTGCTGCCGCCTGCACTGCTGCCCGTGCTGCCCCTAGCAGCAGGATGTCCCCCCCCTCCTCCATCCTCTCCTCCTCCTGCTCTCGCTTCTCCTGCTTCTGCCACTACACCTGTGCCGAAAGCACCACCAGTGGTGCTGATGCTCCTGCTGCGGTGGTGCCCTCCCCTCCGCGTGCTGCCTCCCTCCACAAACCCCCCACTGGCACCGTCACTCACACCACCAGCTCCTACCCGCGTCCCTGCCCCAGCAGCACTTGCAGCAGCGCCAGCAGCAGTGGGCACGGCATAGGTGGGGCCCATGTGGTAACTGCGTGACCGCGTGTGCATGCTGTTAGGGGAGGCAGCGGGGGACCGCGTGATAGGCGCAGGGGAGCGGGAGCGCGCAGATGGGGAGGGAGAGCGCCGGGTAGAGGGGGATGGGGATCGGTTGGAGGGGGAGTGAGAAAATGCAGAGCGGGCGGAGGGGGATGGGGGAAGGGGGGAGCGAGAAGGGGGGGTGCGGGAGAAGGAGTGGGAGTGAGATGAGTGGGAGAGAGAGGCGTGTGAGAAGGACGAGGCACGATGATGCCGTCTCTGCTGCCCTGCGCCCGCCCCCCGCCTCCCCTGTGCAGATCGTGAGAGCGTGGATAGAGCTGCCTCCAGGTCAGCAAAGGACACGTCACCCCCCTCATTGGAAGCAGTAACAGGCGGCGCAATGACAATGCCACCGGCAGCAGCAGCAGCAGCAGCAGCAGCAGCAGCAGCAGCAGCAGCAGCAGCAGCAGCAGCAGCAGCAGCAGCAGCAGCAGCAGAAACATCCCCATCACCAATGGCAGCGAAATCAGGTCCACCTGTAGCAGCTACAGCCGCCGCTACCCTGGCCGTCTCTTGCTCCCATGCTCCCCCTCTCCCTCTTTGCCACCCCCTCTCACTCCTCTCCTCCCACAGTCCCTCATCCCCTCCGCTTTCACCACGCAGACCGTGAGGGTCGGAGCCGGAACCTGAGCTTCCAGGCTCGGGATCAAAGGCGAGGTTCGGTGGAAGGTGCGGAGAACTTTCACAGGAAAGAGATGGGTGAGGAGGAAGCTGGGATTTTGGAGAGCGATGGGATTGATGATGGTGATGGTGGTTGTGGTGGGTGTGATCATAGGGAGGTGTGGCTGGGGAAGGTGGCATTTGAGGAAAAGGGGTGGTTGGGCAGGATGAAGAAGCGGATCTTCCATGCTTCGCCCCTCCAACTTTCCCACTGCTACGTGGTGTCCGCTCTTTGCTCTTGCCTCTCATTGGCTGATCGTCCTGCTGCACGCCCAGCGTTGAAATAATGGATTCGAGACACGCCAAATCCAGCTCAGGAGGGGGATGGTGGGTGACGCGGCTGGGAGGGATGCTTTGGATGTTGCTTTGACTGTCCTGGCTCAGCAATCCTTCGCAGTTACTGTAGTTGTTGTAACTGCAGCTACCGACGTCATTGCACTCCCCAGCCCAGCTGCCTGCTAAGGATTCGCCAGTTTCGTCCATCGCGATGCCCTTTCCCTTAGCAGACGCACTCGCACGCCTTCGCTCACTCGCGCTGCTGTTACTGTCGCTGCTGCTCTTGCTACTTCTTGGCGAAGATTTTTCTCTCGCAAACCCTTCTCCACGCCTTGCCTTCCAATCAGAAGCCGCGTCACGCAAACTGAAAAACCCACCACTTTCGGTGTTAACGTCTCCGTCGCCGTCTCCGTCACCGTCTGCGTTTCCGTACAAGTCGTCATCGTCACAGTGACTGCCAGAAGTCGAAGATGGTAACCACTCGCCGCCATCCCTCGACACGACAGCCGCCGCGATCAAGGGAGGCGGTGGGAGGGCTGAAGGAGAAAACGGTCCGGAGCGCGATTCTAGTTTGGAAAACGAGCTGCTTCCCCTGTTTGACGGAGACAGAAGTGACTTTGACTGAACTTTCGACTCTGGCTGACTCTTCGACCCTGACTGGGATTGTGATCTTGGAAATGACTGATTCTTGACGGTCGACGGTTGACTGGCGTAACCCCTCGTTGTACCGTTCTCGAGGGTTTCGCGACTATCCTGTTCCGCGACATAGCTGGCTTCGTGGCTCACATGAATCTTTGCGTGGGAGGCTGATCCAACGGCGGTTAAACCGTTCGCAGTAGCTCTCGCTGCGTCTCCAGGATTTTCTCCTGAAGAAACCCCTGAAGACATTGCTGGTGCTGGCGGAGGCGAAAGTCGCGCCGTTAGCTCACCAGCGACGCCAGCTTTATTCAGATTCCTCTCTAGGGTCGGACCGTCAGGAACCCCAGGAGATCTTAACTCTGCCGACGACGTTTCGTCAATAGTCGGCGACGCTGGCGACGAGAACTTGAGTGTAAGCGACTCTGCTGCGTTGGATAGCGACGATGGTAAGGGCGACGGGTGGATAACGACGTCGGTTGCGGAACATACCCTTTGTGATCGCGACCCTCTCTGCAGGAGCACACTCTTCTGCGACGTCGCGGATCCAGCGGGATCGGCGCCGGCAGACACGGAGGAGCTCTTTCCGGCCACTCTGCTCCACCCGCATTTTTCGGCCACCACCTCCGTCGCGCCGCCAGGAGCTTCGCGATCTGACTCCGATTCAAATTCGGCGGGCGTGGCGGCGGCCGCTGCGGCGGGTGGGGTCATGGAGAAGCCGGGGAAGTCGTCTACCTCTCGGGTTGACGCGTTACCACTATTCGTTCTGCCAGGATGCGCGTCGCCGTGCTCGCCGTTGCTGTACTCCTCGTCGCGCGCGTAAGATCCGTCTCGCGGGAAAATGCTTTCGTTTTCAGACGCCGTGACGGTGCCGTGAGATCCCAAGATGCTACGACCCACCCTGTTCCCCTCCTCCCACGAGCTTTCCTCCTCGTTCCCGCTTCCGAAACCTGCGGCCGCGGCACTCGTGTCGTTGCTAGCACTAGCATCATTGCGGGCGCTGCGACTGCCATCTGTCGTCTTCGTCCCGCGAACTCCGGGCAACCGCAGCAACTCAAAGCTCGTCGGCGTGTAGTCGGTGTCCTTTCCATCAAGCTGGTTCGCCGGCTCTGCTTCGCCCCGCTTCCGCTCCTGTCGCCGCGCCGCCGCCTCCCCCGCAACAGCGTCTCGCGCGAGTTGCGAGGCTTTGCTAGCGCTCCCCCGAGGCCGTCCCCCTGCCGATCGGGGGAGGCGTCTGGCGGTATCCGGCTTGTCGAGCGAGAGAGCAGTGGCGAGAGATGGCGTTTCGCGGGCGATCGCGGCGGTGACGGCGTCGGCGTTGCTGCTGCTCTTGCGCAACGCCAAGGTCGGACGCTCGCGACCCTGCACCTGTCGCCGCCGAGTCCACACGTTGTCGGACGCTCGCTGCTGCGACTGCTGCTGCGACACGAGCGTCGCCATCGCCGTCGCCGTTTCCATTGCCATTGCCGTCGCGGGGTCGTCCAGTGCACGCTCGTCGCGGACCGGTTTGTTGCGACTGCTAACACGGTTTTGTAGTACTTCTGGGGGGCACTGCGGCACGTCTGAAATACCCCCTGCCTCGGTGTTGGAGAGTAGGTCACTGTTAATCATGCTACTCGCCGCGGTCGCGTCCAACTGTCCGAAACGGGTCGCGATGAGATGATCGCACCGGCCTTTCGTCGAAGGAAAGCCGCTCAGCACGCTGATCGGACTAATGCCGCTGCTGTCGCCGCCGCCGTACCCGACAGAGCCACTATTGACTGCTTCCGTGACGCTATTGCTCTCAGTGGCCGTAGCGGTCGAGAACGTTGATTCTTTTCTGGAAAACGTTGATTCTTTTCTTCTTGACGATATTTACTCTACACGTTTTCCTGTCAGATCTGGTCCGTACTACACGACATGAAGTTCAGTTGCATCACCACTGTTTCCGCTGTAATCACAAGGTGTCAACACAGTTTTTCTTATGGTCTGTTAAATACAACCCTGATGTAAAAGTGGAGACCTTAAATCGATACCAGAAACAACGAGGCTGTTATTTTCTCACCAGGGAATGGCCACACAATCACAACCCCCGCCTTTCCCTCCCACTACCGCGTTCGTATTCTCAGCTGTTTTCACTCACGCTGGTACCTATCTGCTCCCTGCTGGTCGGATCGGAACAGCAATATATTAGGCACGCCGCTAACGAATATACTTACAGTATCTGCTCCCTGCTGGTCGGAACATCAATATATATGGCTCGCCGCTAACGAACAAACCGTACGTGCGCGAACTTGAAGCTTTAAAGATGAGTAGCCCGAATGGCAAGGAATAAAGCGAGGGTTTTTTCACCACCTTCGACAAAATGTGGGTCCCCCACTTCTCCTCTGCCTCAGAATCATGGCACGAGTAACGACGAGAGAATGCCGCAACTGCCTTGTGCAACCTTGGGTTGAGTTGAGTAACGACGAACAGGCTGCAGCAAACCGGGGCATGGACAATGTTGGTTGGTTTGGGACTTTCTGTTGTAGAAAAGGACCAGAGACAACAGCAGCGTGATTCAAAGTACACCTGATGTCCACCCACTGCACGCGAAATTGCCCCGCACCTGACGAAAACCTTGCACACGTGGGTTTTGTGCCGTGAGGAAGCACCCACGTTACAGGCACGTTGACCAATCCGAACCACAGAAACTGAAGTCTGACTGAAGAGACTGCAGTCAATTAGTCAACGGTGAGTTACAATTGTTTTTTATAAGCCCTTTTTGCCCGAAGCGAATTGACGAAACCTCCACGAAATGCAAGAATCACTTATAAGCCCAGAGGGTAAGGCAAGGTCGGGGGGCTCAAACGGGCATCATGTGTACTGTACTGTTCATTTGTACATATGAACCCCATAAGCTGGAAATAATCACGCAACGCGATGATTCTCGAATTCTGCTCAATCCTGTCGACTACCCCCGCACTGCGCTACCCGATTTTTGATATCCCTGAATCCCATGGACTTCTACAAACGCTTTTTCGATAATTTTTTTTAATATGTTAAAGTATACACCGATGATGCAAGTGCACACAAACATATGTCAGTCGTAACTGGGCGTGAGAGGCCCGGCAGCGTGCCAGCCTCAGGGGACGACTCTAAGGGGGATGCAGTGCCCCTCGCGCAAGATTCCATAACGCGCCAAAATGACGGGACCATTTCCAGCCTTTGCCTTCCAGAGTCCGGATACGTCCAAGGAGCCGACACTCCTGATCTGCCAGCGCATATGTCTTCCCGCCCTGCTTCAAATCGCCCTTACTGTTCAACTTTTTCCCTCTTGCCCGAGTATACACCCGCACATGTAGCCTGAAAGCTGCTTCAATCCTCCTCAGTACCCGCCTGGCCTGAAATCTCTTGCCTCGAAACACGCAATCACACTGCTCTGCCCAAATCTGGTGTATTGCGATTGCCGAGAGAGATGCTTCCGGAAAAGCTGAGCTGGAAGCGGTGTTGCCAAACAGTATGTCGCCCAAGCTGTCAACATGCCTCGTCGGATTCAGCATGCGCAGAGCCTTCCGAACTGCTCCCACAACCGTCCGGATTCTTGGACAGGTGTAGAGGCAGTGTTCCAGGGTTTCAAACTCCCCGCAATGCGGGCAGACCGGCTTTCCACTCAAGAAAGAAAGCCTTTCACCCACTTGAAGGTTGAGACTGTGTATTCTCATCAGCACATCACGCGGTCGGTTCGGTGTCACCAGCGAGTCCCGAATTTTCACAACCCTTTTCCAGTCAATAACTCCTGCCCATCTGCCCGCCCAGAGCTCCCGTTTGGCCGATTGATGTTTCGACTGTTGCCAGTTTCCCTTCAACTCCTTCAGCGATGGTAGCCCCCCACCACTGAAAGCCGCTGAGCGCTGGAGCGGAGTGCGGAGCTGGGTGGTGGGTGCGCCAGATTGCTCGGCTGAGAGGAGAAACAGTTTCCAGCTCTGCGGTGCTGCTTCCCACGCCCGTAGAGCAAGCTTCGCCTGCTTTGAGCCACCGAGCTCCCTCGCTAGGGTTTTGTCATCCTTTACACGCCAGCTCCCGTCACCACCCGCGGTCAGCAGGTCTCCAAGACGCACCTCCCACAATTTCTCCGCGGCTTTCTGGCTGCCCACCGGGGTCGTGCCGTTCATCAGGAGATGGCGGGTGAACGCGCGCTTTTTCGATAATGGCTTAAACACTCTCGACAAAGTTTGTGACGGATTTGTTGGACAACACATTCCTTAACCAGGCATAATTTACCCTAGGAACGCAATAACCGCTAAGCTGTTTGTTTTTTCAGGCTACAGAGGTATGTAAGGCGTTTGTTGAAATATATAAGACATATTGGACCTTAGTTTTCCAATTATTTTAGGAAAAGGTGGAAAAAGAATTTAATAATATACTATTTGACACTCCTAAAAGAATCAATTAAAGAAACAAATGAGTGTTTTAATCGTCAAATTTTGCAAAATTGCATTTCTTGAGGAAAAATGCAAAACGTCTTTAAACATGCTTGTGAATTTGTGGGTTGAATTTTGTTTTTTGCTAAATTTGAAAGTTATAGTCCACGCTATATTGTTGTCTAGTCGGGGGCAATAGTCTAGTTGTCTCATTACGGTTAGTCCTAAAGTACACTATAATTTTCTCTACGATTTTATATATTTTTTTAATTATTTCGGCCTTGAAGTATCTACGCATCACGTTAACATGGCCACTGTGTATCATTAATGCAACTGCGCAAAATGACAACTCATACTAAGGGAATGCAATTATTTTATCTGGATAGCGTCATATTTGTTCTCACCCAAAGGCATGAATCAAAGGGATCCGAAACTGATGAACATATACGCAGAGTTGTCAAACATTATACATGTTGTATTTGTGTAGGCTATAGTGGGTTAGTCTATAGGGGGGTCACAACTCTAGGGTTTCATATTTGTACTCTCATTCCTTTCTAGTCCAACAACACTTGTTCATTCTAACATGGTATTACGAGCCTAGGTTAGGCACCTAGGACTGCCTACTACTACGGGCCCACCGTTCCGTTAGAAGCGCCCTCGTGCGCCTCGCCTTACTCGCGCCCTCGTGCGCCTCTCTCTACTCGTGCGCCCTCGCGCGCTCTGCCTCTCACTACCGCGCGCGCGCAGCCCGCTAGCCACCCGCGCGCGGCCCGCTTTCCGTACGCGCAGCCCGCTAGCCACCCGCGCGCGGCCCGCTTGCCGTGCCCGCGACCTGCTAGCCGCCCGCGGGCGGCCCGCTAGCTCCCCGCGCAGCCAGCGCCACTAACGCGCGGCCCGCCGCGGCCTTGTGCGGCCCCGCGCGCAGCCCGCGAGCTGCTCGCCGCCTCGCGCTGCCGTCGCTCGCACCCGCCGCCCGTACGCAGGCCGCAGCCCCGCGCACCCGCGCACCCGCCGCCTCGAGCTGCAGGCCGCAGCCCCGCGCACCCGCCGCCCGTACGCAGGCCGCAGCCCGCGCGCCGCAGCTGCTCGCACGCCGGCCGCCTCCGCGCAGCTGCCGCCCGCGCGCAACTGCAGCTCGCGCGCCACTGCAGCCTGTGCGCCGCTGCCGCCCGCGCGCAACCACAACCCGCGCGCAACCGCAGCCTACGCGCCGCTGCCGCCCGTGCACAGGCCCCCAGCCGAGCCGCGCAGCCCGAACCGAGCCGCGCCGCCCTACCCGAGCCGCGCCGCCCTACCTGAACCGAGCCGCGCCGCCCGTACTAAGCAGCCTCTCTGGACCGAGCCGCCCTACCTGAGTCGCGTAGCCTACTGCTCTTAGGGTGCGCTTACTGCTACTACTACTGCTACTATGGCTAGTCCTCCTGTACTCGCTTTCGATGCTGAGGGCCGCCCAGTGAAGTTCGACACCTGGCTAGATGACCTGCACCTCTTCCTACAGCTCACTGCCAAGGAGGACATCTCACTGTACGATCACGCCCTAGGCCATGCTACTGCCCCTGATACTTCTGCTGACAGCACTGCCCGCTCACAGTGCCAGACCCGTGACACCCACGCTCGCTTTGCTATTCGCAACTCCCTGCCGATAGATGAGCGCGAGCACTTTGGCCAACACAAGACTGCTAAGGAACTGTACACTGCTGTCGTTGCTCGTTACTCCTCACCTGCTTCTGCCGCACTAGGCCGCCTCTCACTCCCCTACCTGTTCCCCGACCTGGCCTCCTTTCACACAGTTGCTGACCTCATCACCCACCTCAAGACTAGTGAGGCCCGCTTCCTGCTGCTATGCCTGACGAGTTCCTTGCTAGCAACCCCCCCCCGCTCTGGCTCACTCTCTACCACATCGTCACCCGCCTCCCTGACTCTCTGCGCGCAGTCAGGGATCACTTCCTAGCTCGCTGCCCCACTGAGCTCACCATTGCCCTCCTCGAGAAGGAACTACTTGCAGCTGAGGCGAGCATCGTCGCTGTAGGTGCCTCTCGTGGCGACCCCCGCACCCCTTTCTTTGAGGGGTGTTCCCCTTCCCCCCTTCTCCCCTCTGTAGCCTCTGCTTCTGCTGTCGACCTCCTTGGTGCTGAGAAGGTCGGGACTTTGTCTGCTCCGAGCGGGCGCCGCAGGAACAGAGGGGGCAAGGGTGGAGGTGGCGGCGGGGGAGGCGGGGGTGGAGGCGGTGGGAGTGGAGGAGGGGCTGGAGAGGCTAGTGGCGGCAGTGGGGGTGGTGACGGCAGCGGCGGGGGCGGTGGCAGGGGCGGGGGCGGCAGCGGGGGCGGAGGTGGTCGTGGCAGCGGCAGGGGAGGAGGTGGTCGAGGAGGTGGCGGCGGCGGTGGTGGTCGTGGAGGCGCTGGCGGTGGTCTGAGCCAGCAGCACACTCCGTCGCTCCAGGAGGCCCGTGAGTGGTATTCGCAGCGCCGGGGGGCGGGTGGCTTTAGCTGCACGTACGTCATCCGCACTGGTGACCGCTTCACGTACTCCTCGCCTCAGTCTACTCGTCACTCGCTCTCAGCTCTGCCTTCGGATGAGTCCGTAGAGCCGAGTGGCCCGTATCCAGAGCTTGTGGGCTGCCTCATGTACCTGATGACCTGCACTCGACCTGACCTTGCATACCCTCTTAGCATCCTTGCACGCTATGTCGCTCCTGGCCGTCACAGGAAGGAGCACATGGATGCCGCTAAGAGGGTGTTGCGCTACTTGTGCAGTACGTCGGGCATGGGGCTAGTGCTTGGAGGGCGAGACCGAGTTGTACTTACTGGACACTCTGACGCTTCTTGGGCAGACGACCAGGCTACTCAGCGGTCGTCTCAGGGTTACACCTTCAGTCTTGGCTCTGGCTCAGTTTCTTGGCGGTCTACCCGCTCTTCTTCTGTTCTCAGCTCCAGTTGTGAGGCTGAGATCTACGCCACAGCCATGGCTGCCCAGGAGCTACGCTGGCTGACCTACCTGCTGACCGACTTGGGTGAGCGGCCTCGTTCTCCTCCAGTGCTGTACGTCGACAACAAGGCTGCCATTGCCTTGTGTGAGGAGCACAGACTGGAGCACAGAACGAAGCACATTGCTCTGCGGTACTTCCTTGCTCGAGAGCTGCAGCAGCGCGGTCAGCTTTGTCTGCGCTACGTGGCCACTGAGGCCAACACTGCTGATGTGTTCACCAAGGCGCTTCAGCCTTGTGACCATCAGCGCTTCTGTACTCTTCTAGGCCTTGTGCCTGCTGGACCTCACTTGCTTACTTCTTGACTCTGCTTGTACTGTGATCTTTATATATATACCTGCATGTTTACACTTGCTAGGTTGTGATCACTGCATCTCTTGTTATATTATCAACCTGCTTTGCTTTGACTGGTCTTGTGACCCCTTGCTCTCCCCCACTTCGCCTATGGGGGTGTGTCAAACATTATACATGTTGTATTTGTGTAGGCTATAGTGGGTTAGTCTATAGGGGGGTCACAACTCTAGGGTTTCATATTTGTACTCTCATTCCTTTCTAGTCCAACAACACTTGTTCATTCTAACAAGAGTGGCCAGACCGTGATTGTGGGTGTAGAGAAAGTTGCGCTCCATGGAATTAAGAAATATGAAAAAGAGGGAGCGAGGTGCGAGATTAGTCGACAGGGATGAGCAAACTTTGAGAGTCGTAGCTTCGCACAATTATTCCCGTAAGCTGACTTCACACCATATACATCCAGTTCGCGATAACTTCACACCAATTAATCTACACCACAGGGTACATACCCTAAGTTGTACGTTTCCGTAAGGTAGTTACTGTTGTTTAGAAAATTCTGGAGGAGGGTCTCACACTTTCACGAATTGGTGGGGTGCAACAAGAATTTTAAGGCAAACCAAACCTACAAAAACCCAAAGTTTCGGTCTTAATGGGGTGCGAGTTTCATTCTTGAGACGACCTTTCGTTGTCTATTGATAGTCCCTCAATCTCTTAATGTCCGTCCCATCAAGTCAGAAAGCGTAGAGGTCCCTACGAAAAAAAGGGCAGGGGGTGTAGAACAAAATTAAGGTGTAATACACGAACTAGGTGTATACACGAAGCAAAATTAAGCTCCCCATACTTGCCTTCTTTTTTTTGACGTTTAAAGTCTACAGCCAAAGTTGTTACGCGCTAGCCTGTGGGGAAATGTGCACAAATATGGACGGGTGTGTTGTGGGCGAGTTTTGTTACGATTTTGTCCAACCCTTCGCAACACCTTGACCCGCGTGGTCCGCAACTTGGGCCGTGGGCTTGAAGTGATTTTGCATTTCACAAAGGTTTCGCAACGTCGCAGCTAGGAAAAAAGGATATAAAAAAATGTAACTTCCATGTTGACAGTTTGACGTCGTTCTCTTCGTCACCATTGTTTTATCATCACTGCAACTTGTGTCAAACATTATATATGTTGCGTTTGTTAGGCTACAGTGGGTTAGCCTATATGGGGTACACAATTCTAGGGTTTGCCATTTTGTACTGATTTCTCTGTTAGTTCAACCATTCCAGTCCGTTCATTCTGACATGGTTTCAGAGCAGGTCCTTCGCTAGGACCGTTCTTAGGGCCCACCGCTACCTACCTACCTACCTACCTGCGCCTTAGAGCGCCTCGGTTCTTACGGCCCCTTAAGGCCTCGCGCCCTCGTGCGCCTTTCCCCACCACGCGCGCGCGACCCGCTAGCTACCCGCGCGCGGGTCCCTTTTTTTTTCGCGCGCGCGGCTCTGTTTCTTGCGCGCGCGGCCCGCTAGTTGCGCGCGTGGCCCGCTAGTCGCCCGCACGCGGCCCGTCAGCCCTTCGCGCGGCCCCTGCTGCTCGCGCGCACCCCGCCGTGGCCCCGCAGGCCCGCAGCTCGCTGCCGCAGCTGTCGCCCGCCCGTCACCCGCAGCCGCCCGTACGCCACTGCCGCTGCCGCTGTCGTACGCTGCTGCCGCTGCTGCTTGCGCACCGCCCACTGTCGCTGCCGCTGCTGTGCCGCCGCCACTGCCGCCCGTGCGCCGCTGCCGCTGCTGCACGTGCGTTACTGCCGCTGCCGCCGCCGCTGCAGCTCCCGCCCGTGCGCTCGCTACCGCTACTCCCGCCGCCCGCTGCAGCTGCCGCCCGTGCGCTACCGCCGCTGCCGCCCGTGTGCTGCTACTGCGGCCGCCATTACCGCGTTGCACTGCCGCTACTGCCCGTGCGCCAAAGCCGCTGCCGCCCGTGCGCCATTGCTGCTGCCGCCCGTGCGCCACTGCTGCTGCCGCCCGTACGCTACCACTTGTTTGCCGCTGCTGCCGGCCCCGTTGACACTGCCCACAGTCTCCCAGCGGCCTCGTTCCTACTGTTTACCTTATACCTACTACTACCGCTCGTGTGCCACTACGGACAGTCGACCCGCCCGCGCCTTGCCTAGCGGCCCCGCCGGCCCCGTTGACCCTCCGCACACCTTTCCAGCGGCCTGATTCCTACTGCTACTGTCACTATGGCTAGTCCGCCAGTTCTAGCTTTCGATGCCGAGGGCCGTCCAGTGAAGTTCGAAACCTGGCTCGATGACCTGCACCTGTTCCTACAGCTCACTGCCAAGGAAGATATCTCACTGTACGACCACGCCCTAGGCCATGCCACTGCCCCTGACTCGACTGCTGACAGCACTCTGCGTTCCCAGTGGCAGACCCGTGATGCGCACGCTCGCTTTGCTATCCGCAACTCCCTGCCGCTAGACGAGCGCGAGCACTTCGGCCAGTGCAAGACTGCTAAGGACCTCTACACCGCTGTAGTTGCCCGCTACTCCTCACCCGCCTCTGCCACGCTAGGCCGCCTCACTCTCCCCTACCTGTTCCCCGACCTAGCCTCCTTTCACACTGTCGCAGACCTCATCACCCACCTTAAGACTAGTGAGGCCCGCTTTCGCGCTGCTATGCCTGCCGAGTTTCTCACTAGCAACCCCCCCCCGCTCTGGATCACTCTCTACCACATCGTCACCCGCCTCCCTGACTCTCTGCGCGCAGTCAGGGACCACTTCCTCTCTCGCTCCCCCACTGAGCTCACTGTTGCCCTCCTCGAGAAGGAACTGCTTGCAGCCGAGGCGAGCATAGTCGCTGTAGGCACCTCTCGTGGCGACCCCCGCACCCCGTTCTTTGAGGGGTGTTCCCCTTCCCCCCTCCTCCCCTCTGTCGCCTCTGCTGCTGCTGTCGACCTTCTTGGTGCTGAGAAGGTCGGGACCGCGTCTGCTTCGAGCGGGCGCCGCAGGAACAAGGGCGGCCGGGGTGGGGGTGGCGGCGGAGGAGGTGGGGGTGGAGGCGGTGGGAGTGGAGGCGCGGCTGGGGAGACTAGTGGCGGCAGTGGGGGAGGAGACAGCAGCGGTGGGAGTGGTGGTGGAGGCGGCAGCGGAGGCGGAGGTGGTCGTGGCGGCGGCAGGGGTGGAGGTGGCCGGGGCGGCGGCGGTGGGGGTGGTGGTCGTGGAGGCACTGGCGGAGGGCAGAGTCAGCAGCCCGCCCCGACGCTTCAGGCCGCCCGTGAGTGGTATGCGCAGCGTAGCGTTACCTGCACGTACGTCATTCGCACAGGTGACCGCAGCGGCCAGCAGTGTGGGAGGCCGCACCCCACGCAGCGCTGCTTCGCGCGCCTTAACGACGCGTGGCGCACTCAGTTTCCTGCTGCCACTGAGCTGCCGCGCTGGGCTGATCTGGAAAAGAGGGGTGTTGATATTTGGGCTTTAGACTTTGATGCTATTCTCACTGCCATGTATGCGATGTCTATTAGTGGAGAGGGTGCTCAGTACTTGCGTGTTCCGCCCGACCCGGGCATTCAGGCCAGTCCGGCTGCCGCTCTAGGTGCTAGTGCGTCTGCTCCCACAGGTCCTGGTGAGGTCGCTGCTCTAGGTGCTCGTGCGTCCGTGCCCCCTGGTACTGAGTCGACTGCAGCACTACACACCTTCACACTGGACTCAGGTGCTTCTCGCTCCTTCTTTCGTGACCGCACTGTCCTTGAGCCACTCGCTCGGCCAGTTGCTGTCTCCCTTGCTGACCCCTCTGGGGGTCCGGTCATTGCGACCTCCTCCACTGTCCTTCCTTGTCCGGCGGTCCCGTCCGGCACGCTGTCAGGTCTCTACCTCCCCTCGTTCTCTACGAACTTGGTGGCAGGTAGTGCGCTCCAGGACGGGGGTGTTCACCAGTTCACCCCTGCCTACGAGCGCGTGACACATTGCACGTGTGCTCGGACGGGTCGCCACCTGGCTACCTTCACTCGGGAGCCGGGGTCGGACCTTTACACACTGACCACTGTGTCCCCTCAGGTAGCTGCGTCTGCGTCTGCGTCTGCGTCAGGTCAGCTGTCCGCCCCCTGCTCGTGTCGCTCTCTGGCGCATGAGACTGTCCTTTGGCACCACCGCCTTGGTCACCCGTCTGTG